CCTGACTCCAGGGAGACTTGGGACAGCGCCACACGTGGAAGCCTGTGGGGTGTGCAGACAGATGCTGGGATGGCCGGCGCATCAGGGCTCCTGCTGCGGGCTTAGGCCCCTTAAGGTTGCAGGGATCTGATGCTGCCAACTTTCATGGAGTCCCAGACTCTCTCTCTCTCTCTCTTTTTTTTTTTTTTAAAGAGAGAGAGAGAGAGAGAAAAGGGTAGGGGGCAGAGGGAGAGGTATAGACTCCCAAGCAGAATCCCTGCTGAGCGTGGAGCCTGACACGGGGCTCGATCCCACGACCCCAAGATTATGACCTTAGCTGAAACCAAGAGTCAGATGCTTAACCCACTGAGCCACACAGGTGCCCCTGAGTCACAGACTTTTATTTGTGTCTGTCCCTTTGTATAGAATGACTACAAGGACACATTGCTCCCTAGACAGCAAGGGCTTCCCCCCTGCAGGCTAACAGGAGGACAGTATAAATATGCTTCCCTCTTCCCCCATTACCTGTACCCACCTAGGGAAGGGCGAAGGCTGGCCCATAGGCAGAGTTTATAGTGGACATGGTCCATTTCTGGGTGTCCTTCTCAGAAATTTAGGGCTGTTTTCATGATGTGTATCTGTTGATCACAATTCTTGTTTGTGGCCCAGCTCAGACGTGAGAAGGGCTTAAGTTTCTTTGTGGGATTTTTTAAAAAGCTGTTTATCATGGGCACTTTTTCTCTTGGGTTCATTCAAAAGGACCATGTGGGAAAATGAAAGGGAAAATGTGCACTTGGAAAACATTTTAGACTGTGGCAAGTGATAGCGATGCTTAGGAGAACAGCACGGCTATTCTGCTGAGAACACAGAATGGCTAATATCTACTACCCTTGAACTTGGATTTCATCTATGATGTCATGGCTCCCCTTGTATGATGCCCAAGAATCCAGACTTTGTGGTACAAAAGGCCTTTTGTGTCAGAGATATTTCCCGTGAGTGTGGTTTCGTTCAGACACAGAAATGTTTGGGAAAAGCTGCGTCATCGGGAACCCTGATGAAGGTGGTCCCCGGGGCGGCCAGGCAGCTGCGTCTGTCATGGGTTCCACTGACATTTCACTCTGAGGGTCTTTTTACGCAACGCTTCCCTGCTTGTGAAGTGTTGAATGGTCATTCACGACCTGGGTTAGCAAAGAAGAATGCTCGCCCCCTTGAGGGCTGTGCCAAGAGCCTGCAGCTGGAAGGGTTCCGTTTTGTAGGGAAGGCGGAGAGGAAGTTTCCATCCCTTACCCTAGTTTAATGCAGGGAGCCAGAGTGCACGGCCAGAACTGCCTCCTGGACACTCCCCTCCCTGGTCGTGGCACTGCCAAGGGGGCATCATGCATTAGCTGCAGGGACCCCGCTCTGCCCTTTCAACGGACACATCAGAGGACCCCGTCAGAGGACACCATATACATCTCTATCGTGAAGATCCACTACAACACGGGGACTGTAGCCAGCCACACTGAATGAATGCATAATCTGAAACAGAGTTTATTTGTAGTTATTTATACCTACCTTGTTGCTGAAGGTACTTCAATTTAAGGACAGAGATGAAAAGACTTACTTAGTGATAACCCCACGGCAGAGCTGGAATGAACTTCTAAGGCATTGTTTTCAAAGCACATGCTTCCTCCTTCTAACCTAAGGAGAGTACACATGAGAAGAGGAATTCGTCACCATAAAATAGTTTCAAGAGGGAACAGGACCCTTTCTTGGCTGTTCTAGATAGGTAGGACTAAAAGGCATCTTTAATGACCGGGCAGGCCAAGGGCTTCCTCACGACCTGAACTGTAAGGAATACGTCCTTATGTGTTATCCGTTGTATCTGTGTACCTTTCATCTTCCGTCCACACACCATCTGGAAGGTTCCTGTCCCTATGCAGGCTGGTATCTGCGGATTACGCTCTCTGATCACCAGGAAGCTTATGGGTGCCCGTGTCTATGGACCGGCACCTCCAGCAACTGCTCCCCACCCACAGAGGAGATGCGTAGCTCTGGGGCTGGCCAGTCTCTAAGAACGCTCCTCCTCCGCCACAGCTCCCTGTGCTCCTTACTTACTTCTCTCCTTCTGCACAGGGCATGGTTTTCCTGCCTCTTCCCAATCGCCCTTTCCCCCCAAGACTCCCTGATTCTTCCCCAGCATGCGGACGACCTGATAGTGGATACCATACCCCGAAGAAAGCCCTCAATAAAGCCCCGTCCTTGTCCCCGAGAATAAACATGAACAGTGGTGACACGCTGGAGGTGTTCCGGTGACCTGGAGGCTGAGGGTGGTTTGGCAATGCTGGACAACCAGCCACGCTCGCTAGTCACCCCCTGCCCCCAGTGGTATTCATCTGCGCAGAAACTCTATGCCAAGTATACAATCGTATGTTGTAGATGCCTATTTTAAAAGGTCTCCAGGGAGGACATTTGCACGTGTCCGGTGGTCGCCTGGTAACAAGTTAATTTCAGGGCAGCCTCACCCCAGGGGGCGTGTCTTGGAGTTACCTGTCTCAAGCGGGCAGGTCCTTCCTAGTGTGCAAGGGCAGTTAGTGGAGCTTTGGGGGTGGGAAAGAAAGCTAAGGAACATTGCTTGCTGGGATATCCAGGGTCTTTCCCTTTAGGTGACCTTCATTGGAGAGGGCCTGGGGGAGAACTGGTAACCATCCTCATCTGTCCGTGCGCTTGCACTGGAAGCTTCCACGGGTTTTCTCCGTTGTCATCCTTCAGGCCCTTAAGGGTTTGGACCGACCCCTCTCCTGTGCCGCCTCTTTGCCTCCAGGGTCGTTCAGGCCTTCAGACAGGCGTGGACTGCACATTCTCTTCCTCTCTGAGCTTCCTCTGATCTTTCTGGAATGCGCTTACCCTGTTTTCTGGATTGGACTCTTGGAAAGTCTGGCAGGGTCGGTATTCATCTTCAGCGTGTAAACATAGTGTGCAGAAACACCAGCTGAAGTCCCCTGGCATTCACTCTCCTGTCTGGACGCTCACTTTCTGCTTGCCTTTTACGCCTTCCAAGAATGCGGAGCACCCAGGGCTGCCAGCCCATCTAAGGAGAGAGTAAGAGCCCACAGGCCGTTCATGGAGGGCACTGGCTGCAGGCCACTGCAGCAGCTTCTCCCCAGGCCCCTGGGGATGACGGCTGGGAGGCTGTCCGAAAGGTCCCGATGCAACTGGAAACGGAGCCGCGCAAGCCCGCTGGCCTGCCGTCCCTCGGTGCATATGAGGATACGTGGCAGCTGTGGCCTTACAAGGTCACAAGGAACCTGAAGTTGCTGAGTTGAGGGGAGGAGGGTGGAGAAGCGGGAACAGACTCCTCCTAAAGCAGAATATCCATCACAATGGGAGGGAAATAGCCGCAGAGGAGTAGGCGGCCCCTCTCCAGGTCCTTAGCACACTATTTAAGGATTCTGAAGGATGCCAGCAGCTGAACAAACCCCAGGCTTCCCCTGCCTGAGCCCTCAAGCCCTCGGCCGGTGGTGGCTGCCAGCTCGGTGCTCCGAGCCATGCGAACCTTTCCAGGCGCCTGCCTCAGACCTGGGCTCCCAGCGGTGCTGTCTCGGGCACGGCCGCTGCTCCTTGTTGTCCTGTCCCCTTGGCCCTGCAGCCCTTCAGGCCTCCCAGAGGTCTAGGCTGTGGGGCTGGGAGTGGGGCCTGGCTTGTGTCGCCTGTGGGTGGAAGGAAGGGTGCGGAGTGGAAGTCCCGCCAGCTTCCTGGCTGACAGCATGTCAGCACTCAGCGCGCTCTGCCCACGTCTGTTTGGTGAAATTATCTGATGCGCTTTCACACGGACGTGGTCTAGTGGTCATTTCTGTGCTTCCTACGCAGCCTTCTCAGTATTGTCTTCCCAGGGTTCTCAAGGATGGGGGCAGGTGTCTCTCTGACTTCCTCTGTGTTCAGGAAGTATTTGGCATTCCACACACCTCTCACCATCCCTCTGCGTCCCTCCGTCTCTCTCTCTCTCTCTGTCTCTCTCATTTACTCATTCAACACACTTGTCTTGGCTGCTTTCCAGAACGCCCTTCCTAGTCTTTCAAGCGATCCAGTTCCTTTTACCCCCCTATTCCTGCTTCCCTGTGAGGTCTTTCCCTGCGGCTGCAGCAAACCCCCGCCTGTGTTTTCATTCTCTTTTAAATTCTTAGCCTGTTTATTATTTTGCCTTTAGTCTTACAATTCGTAAAGCAGGTACACGGATCATTCACTGAGTTTCCATCTACGTGCCCCCCACCCCGAGTGTCAGGAGCTTTCGCGCGCACGGGGCCATATGAGGATGCGTGGGAGCTGCCGACCTAGAGCTCACAGTACAACCAGGGACAAAGATAAAAAGCAAATAATCACGACTGGGTCATGATGCACTTTATGACACGAGTATTTTGAGGGCCGTGCTAGCTTAGAAGGGAGAGGATCAGCTCTCTTTGGAGGAGTTGGGAAATGTTTCACATGGAGGCTAGGGCACATCAGCTGGGTTTTGAAGAGTGACTGGGAGCTTGTCAGGTGACACATGGGTGTCAGGCAAGAGTTGAAGAACCTTCCGTCGATGCTGTGATGGTAGAGGCCCGAGACAGCGCGACTTGCAGTGGCCTGTGACAGCTCAGATGTTAAATGTCCATTCGTGGGGCTCCTGGGGGGCTCAGTCGGTGAGCGTGATTATGATCCCAGGACCGTGGGATCGAGCGCCGCATCAGGCTCCCTGCTCAGCGGGGAGTCTGTTTCTCCCTCTCCCAGTCCCCCTGCTTGTGTTCCCTCTCTCGCTGTCTCTCTGTCTGTCAAATAAATAAAACCTTTAAAAATAAGTAAAATCCCGTTCATGGTTATAACATGTTCATGCCAGTGTTCTTCCAGCAAGGTGACCGAGCTCCTTGGACGTTTATCCAAATCCCTGTACATCTCAGGCACTGGATTTTAACCCCGGCCTTGTTCCCGGCACGCAGTTTCCAGGCCAGGGGACGCGAGGATGGAGGTGATCAGCTGTGACCCCTTTTACTCCTGTGTTGCTTTAGACCAAGGATGCCCTGTTCACGATTCTCCACGACCTGCGACCCCAGGATCACTTCAGTATCATCGGATTTTCCAACCGCATCAAAGTGTGGAAGGACCATTTGGTGTCGGTGACTCCCGACAACGTGAGAGACGGCAAAGTCTATATTCACCACATGTCGCCCACCGGAGGTAAATACAAGACCTTGTTTTCTTGTTGCCTTTGACGTGATAGTAAGCGAGTAGCCCATTTTCTGCCAGGAGACGAGGATTTGAAAGCTGAAGCCGATCACAGGAGAGCAGATAAGGGTGAGAGCTTTCCCAGAAGCTTCTGTTTCTCTGAACACCGAGTCTGGAAATTCTCATCTTCCAGGCCCTGAACTGATGATGGTCAGGTTAAGTTAGGGGGAAAATACCTGATAGGTTTTGGAGACTTTCCTGGTTTATCTCGTGGATCCAAACAATGAAGCAGTTTTTGGAAGCTGCTCTTCGGTGAGGAATCAAAGCCAAAGAGATGTTTCGATGTTTCGGGAGCTTGGGCGCTGGCACCTTGGGAGGCAGCGGGTGGGACAGGGCTGCTGAGCTGTTCGCCTCTCGGCAGGGCTGTGTCAGCGAGCAGAGCACGCATCCCAGGTGGCCAGGGAGATGCAGCACACAGCGAGAGTTCTGGGCTCTGAGTCTTGGCACACTTGGGTTGGGTATGTTGCCCGGGGAAGAGTGTGGAGGATGGAACAGGTCCTCCAGGATGCGGGGAGAGGAGAGAACCAGAACAGGGTGTTACCCAGCCGTGCTTCCGCGCCGGACGTGGGGGTCCCTCTCGCTGCTCTCTCCGTCTCCAGTACAGTGGCCCCTTGTTCAGCACTGGAGCGTGTATGGAAACTCGTCCAGGCTCCCTCTGCCCTTTCTGCAAGGGCCTTTGCAGAGACGCCGTCTCCTGGGGCTGCTGTCTCGGTCAATTCTAATTTGGTTATTGGGGAACATAGAAAAATCCAGTTCGGTTTTCTTCCTGCATTTTTCATTTTTCGTCTGTGTATTGTTTTCTCTCCACGATGAAGCTCTGATTTCCCAAATGAACTTCATTTAGAACTTGATCGTGCTTGGATGGAACTCTGACTGCCATGGCATTTGCTACCGGTCTCCACAACGGTGTGGTCTAGGAACCGATTTACTGGGTGATGAGAGAGATAGAAGATTGGATGTAATAATACGGGAGGAAGTAGGGATAAGACAGGTCCTTGAGGGAGGAAACTCTTCATGTTTGTATGGCCCATGGTTCCCAGCGCAGGTCCTGACATGTATAGCTCGTGCTCAACGAGTATTTGTTGAACTGAAGGCATTTCAACAGCACTCCTCATTATTAGTAACGGGGTGTATGCGTGCACGCGCGTGTGTGTGTGTGTGCGTGTGTGTGTGTTGGCAGAGGGCGTGGGGATAAAGCTTTAGGAAACAGCTGAGGTGTATTATGTCATTTTGGAATTCACACCTTAGAAACCTTATTGGTTTCCTTTATTTTCTTCTCCGCATTTCAGCACCCCAGGCTCTCCAGGTGAACAGAAAGTCAGTCTGTTTGTTCCTCTCGGAGAAGCGGAACGGTAGGGTTGGCACATAGGTTCTGAAGCCAGACTGTCTGGATCTGAAGCCAGCCCCACCATCTACGAGCCATTGGCTGTGTCTGTACCCAAGTTTACGCATCTCAGTTGTAGAAAATAACGGGGTTATGATGAAGATAAAATCAGTTAAAATACCTGAAGTGCTTAAAACAGTGGCCGGCACACAGGCAGTCCTCTTTCAGAGTGAGACGTGGCCATCTTCACCCAAGCAGTCCCTCTTGCTGGTGCATTTGGGTCCTATGTTGACTGGGGGTTGGGGGGGACTCTCTGCAGGGTGGCCTGGCGGCTCTGTGGGGCGTCTCCCTGTGGAGGGCACTTTCCTGTTCTTAAGAGCTTGGGACACGTCCTGGCTTTGCATAGGTGTGATCCACACCCTGCTGTGCCTCGGTGTCTGGACCTAGGAAAGCTAAGTCGGTCCTTTCCCCTGGGCTTTCCCTGGCCTTAAAGTAGAATAAAAGATTTGGCACCACGGCCAAGTTCTCATTTAAAGGGAAAATAAAGGCCTGCCTTTTTGTCCAGGCTCACACATCCAGAGGTCCAGTGCATCTAGGCTGGACATTCAGAAAGGCAAGTTAATGAGCCCAAAGAAATGTTAAATACTGTTTCAGCTGTAACTTCTCCTGACGTTCAAACTCAGTATGCATCTCAGAATCATCAGTGTCTTTGCACAGACCCAGCCATGTATTTTAATTTTTTTAGCCAGAAATTCTGGAGAATGTGAAACAATGGGGAGAGATTACCTGGTTCACTCAGACACGGTACATTTTGCGGCTAGTTAAAAATCACTCCGGACAGGGTGATGGATGGTGGTGATGGGTATACAGCTTTATAAACTTACTAAAAGTACGTGTGTACCTAAAGTGAGTGCCTTTTCTTTCCCTCTGGGACTTGCACTCCCTCCAGATTCCTGTACCTGTACCTTCCTGCCCTTTGCAAAGCTATTCCCAGAAAAGGCGTAGGAACCACCATTGCAAAGGTATCAAAGATGTCTCAGTGAAGGGGTTCATTCAGAAGAAGGGGCATATCCTGGGATAATTCTGGGCTATTCCCATTCATTTAGCAAACCCTTGGAAGTGTCTGCTAGGCTGGTGTCACCCCGTAGGTGCAGGCGGCTTCTTTCCCCACTCACGTCCTCCTGCTCGAATGGTGGCAGGTGACACACGGCCAAGCGCATGTGCCCAGGTGAAGAATATGGGCACACGGGCTTGAGCGGGCACCTTGTGGTGTCCCCCAGGCACAGACATCAATGGGGCCCTGCAGAGGGGCATCAAGCTGCTCAACGACTATGTGGCCCACAACGACATCGAAGACCGCAGCGTGTCCCTCATCGTCTTCCTGACCGATGGGAAACCCACCGTCGGGGAGACCCACACCCTCAAGATTCTCAACAACACCAAGGAGGCGGCCCGAGGCCAAGTCTGCATCTTCACCATCGGCATCGGGAACGACGTGGACTTCATGCTGCTGGAGAAACTGTCGCTGGAGAACTGTGGCCTCACACGGCGTGTCCTTGAGGAGGACGACGCAGGCTCACAGCTCATCGGGTCTGTACGTCCGTCTTCTCCCCGCAGGGGGACTCGGGCTCTCAGGAGGGGGAGGACGGTTGTGGGGTCATAACTCACTACACTGGGAGATGTCCTAAGGGATGCTTAACCCAGGTTCGTTGGGCTCAGATTCTGGGCCCTGCTCTGTGACTTTAGGCAAAGTGGAAGCCAGTCTTGCTCGGTATCGTCATCTGTAAAGCGAGGATTGTGGTCGGTCCGCAGAACTGAATGAGAAAACCGGTGTGAAGTATTGGCAGGACGGCTGCTGCATGGTAGGGTCCACTAGCTCCTATGGTCGTAACTGTCTTCTCGACACATCTAGTGTATTTACTGGCATGTTGTCTAGTGTTTGCTCTAATTCCCCCTGAGGCGTACGTAGGAGAAGAGGTGCTGTCTCCATTTTGTGTCTGGGTAACACTGGCCGCTGATTCTCTTACTCCTTTGAGGTGGAGAAGAAACTAGTTCTTAGTTTTTCTGTCTCCATTTGGAGCCTTCCCGCAGCTGTCATTTGCCAAAAACAAGTATGACCTCGCTGCTGATTCGAGCACGTGCTGACTGTCTGTTCCACGTGATGAGCTTGGGTCTTCTTTACAGCAGATACAGCAGATATTTAAAAGGAAAAGTGAGGTTTTGGTAGATTCGCAGCTGTCCGGTAGCCATATTCAAGGAATATTCATTAATGATAAACCTAAATGGAGGCCTCCAAAGTGGGCAGTAAAGGTGGGTCCTTGGTATGAGGCTCGTCACCGTTCAACCCCCTCCCGCAGCGTTTTGGTCAAAGATTTCTTTTTTTTTTTTTTAAGGTTTTATTTATTTATTTGAAAGAGAGAGAGAGACAGCATGAACAGGGGGAAAGGGAGAGGGAAAAGCAGACTCCCCACTGAGCAGGGAGCCCGATGTGGGACTCCATCCCAGGACCCTGGGATCATGACCTGAGCTAAAGGCAGATGCTAGCTGACTGAGCCACCCAGGCGCCCCGCAGTCAGAGATCTAAATAAAAAGATTTGCTTCCCACATTTTCAAAATTACTCAAAACTATATATAAAGAGGGAGAACATAGTGCATTGTATATTAAGATTTAATAATGCTCTCAAAAACAGAAGCAATGACCGTGAAACATACCAGCTGCCCTGTCGTATTTCCAAAACCATCATCGACACCCAAGAGCCAGCGAGAACTCACTATGCACCAGGCTCTCCTACATCTGTTGTCTCAGGCAAGCCTCACAGCCTAGCATCCAAGCAAAGTTGCCACCAGATGACCCTCTCCTGTATTATCTGGACACACTGGATTCTGCTCCAGGAAGTTGCTCAGAGAGTCCTGTCCCTTCCCTTTGGTGGCTCTGTGCCCCTCAGGTGTCATCTTTAGCTGCAGAGTTGAAATTAGGTCCCTATCATTTGTAAATTCTAGCCCCAAAGAGGGGGAAAGAAAAACCAGATTAAGAAGCCATTTTTTTTTTAAGCAAGCATTGCAGAAGTTGTCCATCTCACTTCTACGCATACTCCGTTGGTGAGAATGTGGCCATATTTGGCCAGAGTAGAGGCTAAGAGATGTAGTTGACAGCTGAGTGGGTAGAACTCAGGAAAGAAGGGGAGAATGAGCAGTTGCTTCAACATTCCAACTTTAGAGAGGAGGAACCCGAAGTTCAGAGAGGCTACGTTACACGGCCCAAGACACACAGCCAGGAAGGGGCTAAGCTGGTTTCCACAGCCTGTGCTGTCTACATCTTTGGAAGGGGGATTTTGATGGTCCCCTTACTCAGCAAAAAGCAACCTTGGAACAACCAGGAGAAAAGCTAAAGTGAGCAAATGAGGCGTGACACGCCTAACCTCAGCGTTAAGATGAGATTCCTCAAGGGTAATGGGCTTAAGCGCACCTGGAACTTGTGTTTGGTTGGAAGGAACGTGTTTTATGAGGCCCTTTGAGAAACGTGGTTATGTACATAGGAAAGTGACCGAGAGACCGCTCAGCTGGGCATGCTTGAGTCCGTGTCATGTGAAGAATAGTTCAGGAAGCGGAGTGGGCGGGGGTCAGCCGGGCAGCACACAGATTTCAGGAGCACACAGCAGTGTCCGAGACATTTAAATGCTGGTGTTTTTCAAGCATCTGAACATTGAGGGTAGATTAGACTCCTCACGCAGCGTTGCTCCGGAAGCAAGAGTTCAGTGCATGGAAACTGGAGGAAGGAAGGTGTGATCTACTCCCGCGGGCTCCCCCTTCTCGTGGGAGCCGCTGAAAGGAGGAGGGAAGCCTGTGTGGTAGTGAGTTCTCTGTCACCAGTGGTGTTCAAGCCTCTGCTGTGCCGTCTCATGGCAGAAGTGTTCTGCTGGGCAGTGTTGACGTGAGGGGCCTCTAAGACCTTGGTCCCTGGCAGATAGGACCCGTCCTGCCGCAGCCACCGCGGGCCCTGACTCTGTCCCTCTGTCCTTCCGCCACAGGTTCTACGATGAGATCAGGACGCCTCTCCTCTCCGACATCCGCGTGGATTATCCGCCGGCCATGGTGGAGCGGGCCACCAGGACCCTGTTCCCCAACTACTTCAACGGCTCGGAGATCGTCATCGCGGGGAAGCTGGCCGACAGCGAGGCGGGTCAGCTGCACGTGGAGGTCACGGCCAGCAACAGCAAGAAGTTCGTCATCCTGAAGACGGACGTGCCCGTGGAGCCGCGGAGGGTGGAGGGCGCTGCGGGGGACCCCAGCCACGTGGAGCGGCTCTGGAGCTACTTGACGGTGAAGGAGCTGCTGAGCTCCTGGCGCCACAGCCGTGACGCGCGGGAGAAGGAGCGCCTGAGGCAGCAGGCGCAGGCCCTGGCCCTGGCCTACCGCTTCCTCACCCCGCTCACCGCCTTGAACTTGCGGAGGTCGGCGCTGCCCGCCGAGACGCCGGAGGCCGCCGTGGGCCCCGAGACCGTGATGCAGAGCCTGCGGGGCGCCCCCCCGGAGCCAGGTGAGCAGGGGTGGGGGACCCCCGCCAGCCCCAGCCGCTGTCCTCTGAGGGAGGGCGACACTGCTGTGTTTGTGGGGCTGCAAGGGTCAGAGCTCTGAAGAAAGTCGGAAACAGGACATTCCTCCTAGAGATGTCCTGGGGGCAAGTCAGCTTATGGGTAAATCGTCGGGGTCGGGGGCCTACCCCATGGGAGGCAGTACTGGAGGCTCCGGGCAAGAACAAAGCCCAGCGTTTCAGTGTCCTCCGGCCTCGGGGAGTCCCTCAGAGCTCTGCCTTGTACCGGCTGGGCGCAGGCTCCCAAAGCTGGGGGGTGGGGGGCATCTAGAGATGAGCCGCGCCCCTGGCAAACACACAGCCCCCAAGGGGGTCCTGCCTCCTTCCCGTGTACCCCTGCCTCCCGGAAGGGGAGAAGGTCTTCGTCTCCGATGCTGACCACGTATACGAACACCGAAGTGGCAGATTCTCGACAGACTTCATGCTTTCCGCGCTTATTACGCAGAATCTAGGCAGAAACCGTCCTGTTTTGTCGGGGGAAATCAGTAGCCACAAGCAGAGGAAAAGGAGAGCACAAGGCGTCCGTCCAAGCAGAGCCTTATAACCTCAGTAATAACTGCTTGTGGGAAACAGCGTGTTTTTTACATTTTGACATTTTTATTAAATTCCTGCCGAGGTCTTATCTCCTAAAGAAAGGGAACGGACAGGAACCCAGAGCCTACAAACGCTGTCTCATTTATCCCTCCCACTCTAAACTCTGAGCAGTCCCTGGGGGTGGTAGAGCGAGCATAAGGGTAGGATGTAGGCATAGCTGTTACTGCTGTTTCCGCTGTGTGGCTCGGGGCAGGTATCGGAATGTCTCTGGGCTTCTGTTTCCGGGTGTATAAAACGTGGATACTAACGATTTCTCTGAAGGGCCATTACAAGGGTTCAGTATGTTAAAGTCTTTGGTACAAAGCTAGAGGTTTGGAAATGTTAGATCCCTCTGCCACGAGGGATGTAGAACTAGACATTTAGGTTCAGATTATAACTATATCTGGATTATAGCTGTCTTTTAAAAAATATTTTTAAATTTTTTAAACTGTGAAAAATAACATAAAATTTACCATCTTAACCATTTTTGAGTGTACAGTTCAGTATTATGAAGTATATTCACAGATCTTTCAGAACTTTTTTCATCTTGCAAACATGAGACTCCGTACCCATTAAACAACTCTACCCTGACCCTAGATTCCATAACTGTTCATTACGTATGACAGGCGCCTTCCCTTCCTGTACAAGCAGAAACCCTAGACCGGAAGAATACAATCTGATTTATAGAAGAGTAAAATAACCAAGTCTTCACATGGTACCCCTTCGCTTGTTTCCTGACCGCCTTGTGAGGCCAAGCTCCTTCTTTAAGCAGGAGATGTTTTTAAATGAGCACAACTGCATTTGAAAGTTGTATTTTACTGACCCCAAACCTCTTGCCTGTGCCTCTCATCTCATCCTCCTTAATGATAACAGTGGGGCTTCTTCTCTTTCTAGGACCTGCTCTCCAGAAACCATACAGCCCAAGAATTAAAGTCTCCAAAACCTCAGGTAAAGAAAAGAATGTGGTTGTGTGTCACTTGAGGGCTGAGGTGTTTTCCAGATGGAGGGCCCAGAGTTCCCTGGCATTAAAATGCCCAGCCTTGCCTCTTACTGTACAGACAAATATTTAACTGGCATTAAAATACAGGACCCACAGTCGTTGAGCAAAAGGCAGTGGCGGGAGGCTGTTCTGAGAACCAGGGCGGTCAGGAAACCATAAACACCGTGGCTGCCTCCCCAAGGAGCCTGGCAGGGCTGACAGCAGGACAGACGGGCAGCAGAGGCCCATTTGCATCTTGACTGAGTTTAGAAGTTACTTTTTTCAGAGACGTGACATATATGTGCTTCAGCTCACAGTGGAACGAGTATCTGTGATGTGAGGTTATTATTATTATTATTATTATTATGTTGAGCTTTGGCTTTAGAAGGGAAAGACAAATAGAAACACCATAAAATTTCCTTTGACCAGCTTCCTGGGATTATAATAAGCATCCAGATGGAACAGCAACACAAAGGTGGGGTTTTAGTCTTGAAATGTATACATCTTCCTCTGTAAGTCTCTTACTGCCTAGCTGCTGATGTGCTCGACGTGCCAGGAGCGTTCTGGAGATAGCCAGGCGGGGAGGACACACATGGTCTCTGACGGGGCAAGCACAACTCTTTTGAACACACACATGCTTTGTGGAATTCGAGGAAACTTTCCTCTTGGATGCTGCGTGGAGTAAGGAGTTCCAGACATCTCCTCCCCTGTTTGAAACAAGCAGCACCCTTCCTGGTGAAAGGATTTGGATGATTTGAGTAGAAATGATGTGGTCTGATCACAAGAAACTCTCAAAGAACTGTCACGTAGTTACAGTCATACCTAAAGGGTACCAAAAACATGGACCAGGACTTTGGTCGCCTATGGGTGTCTTTTTTTGCTTTTTCCTCATCTACAAAAGACTGGTATCTTGTATTTGTCTATCATGGGGTGCTGGAGGCGTGTCCCAGAGAGATCAGCTGGCTTCCTTCCTGGGCCTTTCTGAGTCATGCTAGGAATAGGAAGGGGTTTTGGTTTTTTAGCAGTTGCACTGAGGACATTAATTTGCTTGTGACTTGAAAAGACTGACTCTATCCAGGCTTGTGTACGTGCGTGTGCACGGAACACAGAAAGGAATTCAGAAACATGCCGTGTTTGGCATAAAAATTAGAAAGAAGCTAACTCTCCGGTCTTGTGAAGGGGGATAGTTGATGTAGACGGTCGGGAAGTATTTTGTCCGTGCAGTAAGAGGCAAGGCTGTTCGTGCTGACTAGAGGCGAAAATGAGGGGAACGCACAAGCACCAGAGACGGGCCATGGGCTATGGTCTCCTCTGTGGACAAAACTCTGAGAGCGTTGAGGTCCAAGTGCCCCAGAGGCGGGACATTCACGGCCATCGCCGACCATCCTCCCTAACTCCCAGTGTCTCTGAACCCCTCGTGGTCACCGCCCTCGGTCGGGTTTGCTGGTGGCCACTGTCACACAGGGACTGTGGATGTCTGACCCCATGGCGCTCCGGTGACAGGAGAGGGAGGGTTCGCATCCACGTCTCCTGCCTGGGGCGGCCGGAGGAGACAGGAAATGATTTTTGGTAGCTGAAGTGTGGTGACAGGATCATCACGTCTGGGTGTAGGGGACCCGAGTTCACGGACGCACCTCGCACACCATGTAACGGTGATGTGTCGCTTCACCCCCGGGCACCTTCCTCACTTGGACGTCGAGGATCAGTGACCGGTGAAATAAACAGTGCATGAGCCAGGAGAAGGGAGTGTGTACACACAGAAGGCACCCCATAAATGTCTTGTCTCTCTCGCTCTCTCCTGGTTTTGCCTGGTGGTCTGGCAGTGGATGGAGATCCCCATTTTGTCGTGGATTTCCCCCTGAGCAAGCTCACCGTCTGCTTCAACATCGATGGGCAGCCGGGGGACATCCTGAGGCTCGTCTCTGATCACGCGGACTCTGGTACGTTCTGTGACCTCTGGGCAAGGGTAATGTAGGTAGGGCTGCCCCCCTCTGTTCTTGAGACAGACGGCCACGGAGATAAGGGGGTACATCACAGACACTCACTGAGGACTGTGAGTGCTTCATTAAAGGAAGTCGACTGTGGGGCTTGGAGTCAGGAAGACAAACATTGGAAGCCCTGCTCTGACTTGAGCTTTGTAACCCAGAAGCCGTGGTATTTGCTCTGCCAGTCTCACCAGGCTGTTGCCAAGGCTAAATTCCATAACAGATGCGAAGTCGTTTTGTAAATGCACAGGGGCTGTAGAGATTCAGGATCTGTTATTGTTACCACGTCTCTCCATTCCAAAACCGTCACAGTGGGATGGCTGGAGCCCTAAAACCAGCCCTCGTGCTTCCTCTGCAGTGCAGACGTGAAGCCCCCAGCTCTGTGTGCACGGAACTCGGAGGTGAACAGGGCTCTGATCCCCTGCAGTCTGGGGAGGGGCTGGCTGAAAGGGGTCAGTATGCACACAGCCCTCAAGCCACACGCAGGTAGCAGTGCCTGAGGGATGGCCGTGTGGCTGTTCTCGGTTCCAGGAGGATGCCTTTCTTGAAGGCCAGGTGACGTGTGACGCAGTTATGGAAGGTGTGGTCCTGGGGCTCCTGTCCTACCTTGTTCTCTTGCAAGGCTTCCTCCTAGCTTTCGACCTAAATCTCAACTTGTCCTAACTCAGGCTCAGCAGGGAGATGGGGGCCTGACTGTACCCCCTCCCCCCACCGCCGGAGCCACCCACCTTCCCAGGGGCTGTTCCTGGCATCTCTGTGATCAGGATGGCATCCAGGATGGGAAACAGCCAGAGAATCCCGGAGTCCTGAGGCTGCCGTACCTGGCTTCTGCTCAGGCTGGGATTTCTCCTCCCTGCCCCGTTCCCCTTGCTCCAGGGAGGACAAGCCTACACCTTGCTTCCCCGGGTACAACGTATCGATAACAAGGGGACGGCGTCTCTCACACCTTCACACATGCGTGCCTTCACTCATCCAGCAGGACCAAGTGGCCCCTTCCCGCGGGTCAGACGGTGCCCTAACCACTGCCCTGTCCCCTCTGCCTTCCAGGTGTGACCGTGAACGGAGAGCTGATTGGGGCCCCGGCGCCCCCAAGCGGCCACAAGAAGCAGCGCACCTACTTCCGCACCATCACCATCCTGGTCAACAAGCCCGAGAGGTCTTACCTGGAGATCACACCCAGCAGGGTCATCTTGGACGGCGGGGAGAGGCTGGTTCTCCCCTGCAACCGGAGCGCGGTGGCGGGGAGTCGGGGGCTGGAGGTGTCTGTGACCGCTAACGCCAACGTCACCGTCACCATCCAGAGCACCATTGCCTTCGTCATCCTCATTCACCTGTACAAAAAGCCGGCGCCCTATCAGCGAAACCACCTGGGTTTCTACATCGCCAACAGCAAAGGCCTCTCTGGCAACTGCCACGGACTGTTAGGTAGGCAGCTGCTCTCACGCTGGCTCAGAGCCCAGAAGTCAGCTTCCCAGCGTGAGGCTGCTGTTGCCAGCACGGTTAGCTCGCCTGAGCAGTGCGGTCATGAAATTCCAGGCCTCGCTCCCTGGTGACTTTCTAGAATGGGAAGGGGCTGCATCCGCTGATTCTCACTGGCCTTCTGGAAAAGTGAGCAAAGACTTCGGGGGTCATCCTCTTGAGGTCTGGCTCCTGACTCTGGGAAGGAGATGCCATCAAGGGCAGTCCCCAGCCCGGCCCCGGGCGTGAGTCCCTCACCCCGCCCTGAGCAGCAGGCAGTCCTCTCTGGCTGTTTTCGACGTGCAGGCCCATGTGGGCCCCTTGCCCAAAAGTAAAGGGTGAGCTGCCGCCAGGGCCCAGTTTAGAAAGCAGGATTTCCTGGCACTCGAGCGGGACGTGTTTCTGTCCCACTGGACTGCCAAGCAGGAGCCGCCTCGCCCAGACGTGGGCCGGGATTCCTGCAGCCTTAGCCGTGCCCTCACTTGACCCACAGAATTCTGGGGGTGCGGATCAGGAACGGCCTAACTGACGCTTTCCACACCCACCGGAGACACAGTCTGGGAGCGGGGCTGTGGCCTCGAGGAGAGGGAAGACCCCAGCCTCCTTCCCTGTCCGGCCCATGCTCTCTCCCAGCTCACACGGAGACAGTGGTTATCTGTCCAGATGAGTCATTAGGCAGCTTTCCAGCGTTAGCAGCCGGCTTCCAGAAGGGGAGGCCACAGCGAACCCAACCTAGGACTCCCCGTCCGCACCCCCACAAGCAGGCAGACAGGTGTGAGTCTGCTGGGAGAGCGCAGCCTGTGAGGGCAGTCAGGTACACCCGCCTCTGAGCGCATCCGTCCCCCGCCCGCAGGTGGCCCCGTGCACTGGCTGGTCACCAGGCCCCGAAACTGACACGAGCTATTTCGCCGCAGGGCTGCCCGCGCTTGACTTAGACCCGATGGTTTTTGTGTCCTCCCAGGTCAGTTCCTGAACCAGGATGCCAGACTCACAGAGGAGCCCTCCCACCCTCCGTTCCCGAAGGCAGGTGAGCCGGCGGAGACCATCCTGAAGGTGAAAGGACACCAGGTCCCGGTGGTCTGGAAACAGCGGAAAATCTACAATGGGGAGGAGCAGGTGGACTGCTGGTTTGCCAGGAGTAACGCGGCCAAACTGATCGACGGGGAGTACCGAGACTACCTAGCAAGCCATCCTTTTGACGCACAGACGTCCTTTGGCCCGAGACCCTCCAGCGGACTCTGACGCCAGTGGCCAGGATGCATGAGAGCGTGACAGGGAAGTGGTCTTCGGGGACCCCGCGGCGCGCTTCCTGTCGCTTGCGCATCCTCATGTCTTGGCAGTTAGCTGCCACCCGTGACCTTCTGTTAGTGGCGTGGAGGTCCGCGGTCTGCTTGAGGGAAGGGTAGAGTCAGGCCTCGGAAGCAGAACTGTCATTTCCTCTTACTTCCTCCTCCTGCCTCCACCTTCCCTCCATCCCACAGAGAAAGATGGTGGCTCCAAGGGGAAAAGGTCACACTGCGTCTCATACCAACCAGCTTGTCTGTCTCGTCGCCTGTCGTAACTGATGACGGCACATTTGCCACAAAGCTCCCTTTCTCCGTGGAGATGGCCAAGGCTGGGCACTCTGCTTCTCACCGTGTACCGGTGCTTAGGAATCCCTCCTCTTAGAACCACTGTCTTCTCCAGATGTGTAGCCTCAGGGGGACCCCTCATGGGGCCCCGGCCACGGGCAGGCAAATAGCTCATAGATTTGATCACTGTAAACAATTAAGCCTTTTCTTTGGAGAGGATTTTCTCCTGCTGTGATATCTTGCCTTTGAAAGTGAGTTTTCATTTAAAAAGAAAAATTGGTTGGAGATAGAAGATCTGCATCGGAGATAGAAGATCTGCATCCGAGATACCGATGTCCGACGGGCTTTGTAAACCACTGGGCGGTGCGGATGGGCGTGCTTCTATTTATTCCAGTAAAGCTAATAAACAGGACTACCCGCGTGGCTGTTTTTCACTGGCCTGTCTGGGTTGGAGAGCTAGCCCACGTCCGACTTGGCACCCTCCCCTCGTTGTCATAGTTCTGGCCTTGCTTGCTAGTGGTCCTCGGGGAGGTGACAGATGGGCTCTCGCAGGCTGGGAATGGGAGATGGAGGCAGCTCGGAGTGTGGCGTCAGCCTCCTCCCAGGAACGGGCTTCCAGAAGGTGGGTGGACTCATGGCCCAGAGGCCTGCACGTGTCTCGGAGAGGGAAATCCCGTGGACCATGCGAGAGGGGGCACTTTGGTTCCAGAACTCAGATGGGCCATCTGCTGCCACGAGGCAAAGGTTAAAATCAGTGGCCAGGACTGCAGAGGTCAGGGAACGATACCCTTCTTCCAGCGGGGCCCCGTGCCAAGCCTGTCACCCTACCCAGGGGAAGCAGGGCCGAGGGTGGCGCTGGGGGCCCCCACTGCCCTGTCCTCCTCGCCAGTTCTTGCTCTTGCTGTTGGGTTGTCTTGGGGCCCCCAAGGTTCAGCAGAGCCTGGTCCTTGCTGGGTGAGGCGCGCAGTCGGGACGCACACGGCGAGAAAGATTGGGGTCAGAGAAACGACTATGGGAATGCGAGGCTGGTTTGAATCAAAGCTTTCGTGCCGGCTTCGCAGGGGGTTTCTTCCTGTCGGGAGCGACTCCAGAGCACGCTTCTCACGCGATGTGGCCGCCTCCTTAGCACTGGGAGAGAACTCGGAGCTAGGAAAGTGGTTTATCATGTTCGCCCTCCCAAGGGGAGCATTTGAGCAGCAAAATGACATCCACATGTTCCTGGCGGACCAGGCGGCTTCAGGAGGTCGTGGGGGCGGGGGCAGCTTTTCGGTTCTGTCTCAGAGACCCGCTCTCACCCTGCTTCGGGCCCCCAACGGGTCCGACCCAGCCCGCTCTGGGTTCTGGGCCTCCAGTCTTCCCAGACTCAACGGCCTGTCCTCGTGCCAGCGCAGCGAAAGCACCAGCCCAGATGGCCCAGCCTGTCCGGCGGCCTCAGGGGGGACCCACAGTCCAGCCTGGGCCCCAGGGCTGCCAGGAGAGAGCCTGAGGCGCTTGATCCCAAGGTTGTGAGTTCAAGCCCCACGCTGGGCATGGAGTTTCCTCGAAAAAGAAGAAAGAAGAAAAGACTGTAGGGAGGACCCTTACTACACAACACCAGTTACCGCTGCTTCCTGAGAGCAGAGGATATTCCTGTGAGGTACCCCTCCCCCTCCTCCTCTAGAGGAAGAAATGGTTTTTGAGTATCACGGTTGAGATTTTATTCTAATGTTTTTACTTCAGACAAATCGCACTTTTCTTTTTCCTCCTCTTCGTCGTCTCTTTTTACTGCAAAACTTATTTACCATCAAGTGATCTGTTTCGGCCTGAGATGGCGATATCTCCAAAAAACTCCGCAGCCGTGTTACACTTAGGACCTTGTAATTTGAGTGGAAAACAGAGTACTTTCCGCTGGTCATGTGTGTTGTGGGTAGCAAGCTTTTTAAAAAGTAAACACAGGGGCTCCTGAGTGACTCAGTCAGTTGAGCATACGACTTTTGATTTCAGCTCGGGTCGTGGTCTCAGGGTCATAGGATCGAGCCCCATGTCGGGCTCCCCACTCGGGATGGAGTCTGCTTGTGATTCTCTCCCTCTCCTTCTGCCCTTCCCCCAACTTGGGCACACATTCTCTCTCATCCTCTGCTTAAAAAAAAAAATTAAGGAATAAATTAAAAACTTAAAATCAAACGCAGAGGAAAGGAAGAATTCCTTTTTCCGGTGGGGAAACTGAGGCAGAGTCCAGTTGAGTGATTTTTCCCACGTTACGTGACAGTAGAACAGGGCCACGATGAATGCCCAGAATTCATTTTGTTAGCTTTGCCTCGATTTCACCTCATAGTCTATCATTTCTCTCCCTTGAGCACCTGTAAACGCGGGCAGGGTGCTAAGTGAGAGATTGGAGGGTAAATCTCGTGTTCTCACCACAGCCGGTGTTAGCATGTCCAAAAAGTTAGCTGACTGGGGTTTTAGCAGGTCCCTTCCTGGGTCCCTATCCCCCGCACCCCTCATCTGAAGAAGAGAAACATCTGAGCGGGGTCCCTCTAAGGGCTTTCAAATGTAAAGCGTCACATTCCCAGATAAAATGGATGGGATGTTCCCCACCCACCCATGCTGGGTGCTTCTCTTCTTCATTCCGACTTTTCCAGGATTTGCCACTTCCAGCCAGAGGGAGTGGGACCTGGAAGATAAGCCACAGGGTGAGGCTTGGGCGCTGGAAGCCAGCAAGATCTCCTCCTTGACTTTGTCGGGCATGACACAAAGTCTTCCACTGAATCGTGTACCCTCGTAGGTAGATGAGGGACGGGATTCACGTCTTTACATGTACCTCTTGGCTACAGCAAATTCACGGGCTCCAGCCTAAATTCCAGCTCCCAGAGTTCACGGGCTGCAGCCTAAACCCCCAGTGTCATGGTGTTTGGAGGCAGGTCCTCTGGCAGGAGACGCAGTCCAGAGGGTGGGGCCCCTGGTGGGATTAGTGCCCTCCTGGGAGGAGACACTGGAGAGCGGATCTTTCTGCTCTCCGTCGTGCGAGGACGGCAAGAAGCCAGCTGTCTGTGAACGAGGAAGAAGGCCCTCACCAGACACCCCATCTTCGGGCTCCCCGATCCCGGACCTCCAGCCTCCAGAGCTGTGAGCAAGAAACGTGCGCCAAGTCACCCGATCTGTGGCATTGTTGGAACAGCAGCCTGAGCTGACTAAGTTGCTGAGGCCAAAACATGAATTCTGTCCCCTGGGTTAACTCCCCAGAATGTACACATGCTCCTCTGTCGGAGGGGCTCCTGGACGCCGAGAACATGGTCCAGCTGAGATAAACAGCAAATAAAGCACCCTAGCTAAGCCAAGACTTAGAAATGTAACTTTAAATATTTATTTTAGTCCGTTTAATAAGGAGGGTAGGAGATACTTCACATTCAAGAGCCTTATTTCTTTTGTTTTAAACAAATTGTCTAAAGACAGACAGCATATCAGTCCGTTTCCGTTTGAGTTAGGGCTGCAGAAGTAGAGCCCGGCGAGTCCAACTGCGCTGCTTGCTTGCAGACATTTCTGAACGACACGTAAATATGTGTAGATGGAGGAGTGAGTGACCTGGGAAGAAGGACGTTAAAACAGCACAAGGTGCAGAAAAGGAGATGCACGGCGGCCATTCCGGACCGGCCTTACGTGCCTGTCAAACACAGAGAGGCGCACCTGAAACCTCTCTGTCCCTTATCTCCTGAGATTCCCACTTCCCAGAACTTCTGTCACCTCCTTTTCTGGCCCCTCATTCCCACACCCTGACCCCCACTGTCTTGCTGCTGCTTCTTCCGTTTGCCTCTGGGGCGCCTTCCCTCCTCCAGGAGCCTTTCTAGCCCGTGGTTGAGACCTTGCCCCTCTGGGGCTGAGGGGCCCTGCCGATCCCCGCTGAGCTCCGTTAAATTCCGAATGGAGCACCCCCGGGTCAGAGCCAGCACAGCCACAGAACGTGAGTGACGGCGCTGGAAAGCCACGTGAAAGAGAAAACCAGCAGACACCCGAGAGCCGGGGCGTCAAGTCAGCCCCTCCGGACTTTGGCTTCTTCATCTGTAACACGAAGGGGCTGCACTAAGACCCCAGGATCTTTATCTGCTGCTGGCAGATGAAGATACTTCTCGGACATCCAAGTACTCAGTGCAACCTGATTCCCTGGGTGACCCAGTGGGTTTGGAGATCCAGTGTTCCAGACCCAGGGATCCAGAGGAAAACGGAGCCCCTGCCTCCAGGGAGGTGGCAGTTTGGAGTGGGAGGTAGAACGAATGCAAGGATGGGAACAGCGCTGGAAATGCCGTCCGCGAACGTGGCCGTGGGCTGCGCCCCGCGTGCAGAGGAAGCACGCTGTGAGGGCAGGAAGGCAGTGGGGAAGCCGTCCTGAGGCGGACAGGGCTGCCCACGAGCAGGCAGAGCGTGTGCAGAGGCAGCCACAGAACGTCCTCCTCTGAGTCGGGAGGCCGGGAGCATCTTCCGAGAGGCAGCCGCCTTCTTACTCTACCCGCCTTCCGCCGGACTCGGGGGCCGGTTCCGTCCCCAGCCCTGCGCTCTGGGCTGCCAAGGACACCCAGGGAAAGCCACCGCTCCCCGTGCCCCATCCCGTCCCCGGGGCTTCTGCTGGCATTGTGTTTTCCACAACATGCCGTGTTCCGCTCCACCTTCTGGGCCCCCTGACCCCCCAGCTGCCCCCTCACTGGCCCCCCGTTGCGGGAGAATACTGTAGGAGGGGCTCCCCCCTCGGCTTGGGCTCGTAGCAAAGCGGCTTGCTCGTCTTCACGCCCCCTCCTGCCAGCCGTCGCTGCCCACCTCCATTCTCACGTCCCCTGGGTGGGGGCTTCGGGGATTTTCTTTCTTTCTCGAATCTCCAGACTCTTGTTTCCCACCAGATTCTGTCCTCTTGGTTCCAAATGTCACTCTGGAAGTGTCCTCTGGTCTGAAACTTGTCCCTGACCTGCTTGCCTTGAGCTCCCAGCTTTCTCTCGTGTCTGCCCCAGGCGTGCTACGGAGAGAGGTGTTCAAAACGTCTTTTTTTTTTTTTTCTTTTTACCTCGTAAGTGCTTAACTCGCTCAGCTTCTGCCCTCACTACGTTGACGGGAGCCTATGTCAGATGTCACGCTCCCTTTCCTGATGTCAGCCCACTCCCAGCCATTAGGGTCTTTAAACCTCTACCGCGTGACTACGTCAGCCTCGTCCTCTCTCTGGAATTCTGGATCACTTTGCTTCTTTTGTGTGATTAAAACAAATTTTTTTTTAGTCTCTTTTGCTGAATTTCTCTCCTCCTACCAACCCAGGGACTT